CTGGGGTGGTTTCATGGGAAAATATTGTTTTAAGAAAATTTTAAATGAAGACTGATTCATCATGAGATGGAACAATGGCAATGAAAGCAGAAGCATGAAAACTAGTGTGGGAGGACACCAAGGGAGTTGTTAGAAGTTTTGTTTAGGAAGAGTAAAGGGGAGAGAGGCATAGGAGGAGATGAGAACAGAGCACTTCAGAGATGAGGACAAAAAATTTGAACTTGATAAGGAAATATAGTAAGAAGGAATTCACACAGAGGCACCATGGGTGTGAAAAAGAATTTGTAACAGTGGCAATTCGAATAGATTGGAACAGGGCAAGCAGATTGCCGTATTCTCTATATCATTGATTTGAGGGCACGCAAATATGTAATTCATGCTGCTTAACTTTCCTGTATTCCCACAATCCCATCCACTACACACAGGCCCAGTCTACACAAGTGCTGTATTTGTTTACTCCTGAGGGAATTTTGCGCTAATAAATTAAAAATTCTGCATCCAAAAAAAAAAATTCAATAAATAAATGTGGAGGCTCTGCCATGGCAGTGGGGAGCACAGGCCACTGGCTGTACAGAGATGGGAGATCACTCTGCAGGCCCCCCACCCACCTCAGGATACAGACTCTGTAGTGAGGCTGCACCTGACTCTTGACAGTGCACTGCCTCAGAAACAGCCCGGGGCCCTGCCCCTCCGCGCCAGGCGCACCAGGACAACAAGCGAGAGGGACAGAGTCTCCCATGCATGCACAGCCTTGGCCCCCAATCCAGGTGTGGGGCAAGTAGGCTCAGCCCAGTAGGATCAAAGTGTAGAGGAGATTCATGTGGGGCGAGAGGGTTCATTGTGGGGCAATCTGGGTGCAGGCAGCTTGGTGAGGGGTCTAAATGGGTGTGGGATCTGGATGCATAGGGGCTTGTTGAAGATTCCGGCTGCAGGGGGGTCCAGGTGATTGGGTGGTTGGGACTCGGCGGGGGGAGGGTCTGAGAGTGGAGGGGGATAGGGCTCAGCAGGGGTGAGTCCGGGTGCTGGGCAATGTTCCCTCTAATTTTTTCGACCCATGTGCAGAATTAATTTTGTTATGTGCACCAATATCAAGGTAACGTGCGGATGTGCACCACCAGTAGAAACAAAAAACTTAATAATATATAATATATATTATATCTATATATTTTTAAAAAGTTACCATAGGGATAATTACTCCAGTTAAGACAGGTCAGGCATTTTAGAACTCAGTACTCAAAGAATTAAATTTAAGCATAAGAGAAATAAATTATGAAATGCAGAGACCAGTCAAAAAACTAAAATGACAGCACTTTGAAAGAATAAAATTACAGAGAATATATGTGCATTGCAGGAAGTACCAAGTAACAACAAAAACAACAACACAAATATGTGTTGGGAGGTGAGTGTGAAAGAGACAGAGTGTGCGCGTGTGTTTGTGTGCGTGTGTGTGCGCGTGTGTGAGAAAGAGAAACACACAGACTGTGTGTGTGTGTGTGTGTGTGTGTGTGTGCTGGCTGCTGGGGAAGTGTATGAGAGACCGTGCGCTGTCTCTTTAAGCAGAGAGGCACTCGCCAGTGAAGGCTCGTACAGACCACAGCAGCCGCATCTAATTCCCAAGCCCTGTCCCCCTTCTCCCGCTCTGTGGAGATGGGGAACATGGTGTCCCCTCACCCCACCTCACCTCCACCCCTGACATCAGTACCCCTTCCCTCCTGCCCCTCCCTGCACAGCAAGCAAGAGTGTCCCGGGAGCAGCTGGCCATTCTCCAAAGCAGAGGGCAGGAGCAGCGCAGCAGCAGCAGGGCAGCGGGGGGAGGAGCACCGGAACACACATCACCGCGGTGCATGGTTCTACTAATCAAGTGTGTGGCACTTGATTGACTCTTGCACGGCTGCGCAGCTTAGAGGGAACATTGATGCTGGGAGAGTAGGCCTTGGTGGGGTGGGGTCCAGGTGCAGCTGGTTGGGGCTCAGTGGGGGGGGGGGGAAGGTGAAGGCTTGCCGGGGAAGTCCAGGTGCGGGGGGGCTCATCAGGGTGCAAATTCAAGGGGGGCTCAGCAGCAGGTCATCTGGGTGCAGGGGGAGGGGCTCACAGAGGGTCCAGATGCAGGAGAGGGTGGGGCTTGGCAGAGTGGAGGTGTGTGTGTGGGGGGGTGAAGCTCGGGGTGTGTGTGTCTGGGTATGGAGGAGTAGGTAATTTGGCCATGGTAGCTGATGTCCCTTTGAAGTGGGCAGATATTGGAGCATGATTGGAAAGCCTTGGACTTTGGAGGAAGACATGGAGAGAAACAGCAGTAATCAAGAAAATATACAGTAAAGATTGTTTTCCATATCGTAAACAAGATCACAAACCATACAGAAACTCACCTTTTAAACAGTTTTAAAGTAGTTATCACTATATCCTTCTAAGACTGAAATAAGAGGAAGAAAAGTGGATTGGTGGGTAGAACAGGGACTGGGTGTCAGAACCCTCAGGATAACATGATTTTTACGAACAATGTATGTATATATAAATGTTCAGTTATTTAAAAAAGAAGCGTCAAATTATATTGCAAGGGAAACAACTGCTTTACGACAGATTCTGGGCACAATTCAAACACTGTCAGTGTCAGCATATTTCCCTATTAGAAAACTGTAAACAGAATTTGAAATTTTGAAAGAAATATGGGCTAACAGATATAAAGATGTGTGTGACTATATCTCTTTATGTGTAAATAGCACTATGTTTAGCACTATGCACTGTGTTATAAAGACATGCTCTTTTACCGCCTCCATGAGGAGATCCAGATACACAGTCCCAGTTGGACCGTAAAGTATTTCCTGGCAAATCACTCAGTGTCTGAATTTTAATACTCCTTAGAGAAGCAGTCACTGAATGGATTGCACAAAAGAATAAAACAGAAAGTCTACATTCCACTAGCAACACACTTGCACAGAGTAGTCATTTAACTGGTCAGATTTAAAAAAAAAAAGGAATGTACAATGTTTATTTAACATAGTAGATATATTCTCTTCTTCCCATTATGTAGCACTACTCATCTCAAAGGACTTTGCATACTATACACTGAACACACATATACAGAAATACAACCCCACCTTGGCAACAACAAGCCAGAACTCAGCACAAAAGTAAGACAGATGAAAAAGTGTTATCAAGGACAGTAGGAAAAACCCTAATCTTAGGAAGATGACATAGGACCTTTAGTATCGTCTCAGCAGACAGTACCTCTGTTTTTAAGCAGAAGACCAAACCACAACATGCTACATGGTACTCAGTTTATATATTGTGCCTGTGATGAAAGTAACTAACCATCAACATTCTAGAATCTGGATATGTTGGAGCATAAGGTCTGGTCCACACTTCAAACTTAGGTTAACATAGCTCCACAGTCCTGAGTGCAATAGCTATGTTGAACTAACCATCAGTGTAGATTCGACTAGGTCGAGGGAAGAATGCTACTGTCAACCTAGCTACTGTTGCTCAGGGAAAAACCTGTTACAGTGATGGAAAAACCCCTTTAAATCGCTGTATTCTAGGTTTACAGTATGGGTTACAGTGCCACATAGTGCCCATAGTAGAGGCACAGATAAAGTGTTACAAAACTGATTAGGCCACTATCCCTCCAGCTCCATCAAGCAAGTACAACAAATAGATAATTATGTAAGTTTGTTGCTTCCTATTCAACCAAAAAAAAAAATTGTATAATCCTAGATTAAAACAATCAGAGGTGTTAAAGGGTCATTCAGTTTATGGACACCATTTTACATATCTTCCAATGTGTAATTTGGCAGAAGTACAGACATAATTATTTCTAATTAATTTTTCTTCAATACACTTCTAAACAAGAGGAAAATGAAAATAAAATGCATGTGACCACCTTTCCACCACGTGCAATGATGCAGTTAAGACTTATCTGCAATCGTTGCAGAGACAAAATTACTTCAAATTATAGCAGACATCCAGAAAAGGATGGCTTACAAGAATGATTCATATCATGTCTTGGGAGAAGCTTTCCCTTGCTATTACACTTAATATATTTAATGCAATTTTTCCTGTAGTACAGTAATTTAAGAGAAAACAATAACTGCCATAACTCTCAGGTTTCAAAGTAGCAGCCGTGTTAGTCTGTATCCGGAAAAAGAACAGGAGTACTTGTGGCACCTTAGAGACTAACCAATTTATTTGAGCGTAAGCTTTCGTGGGCTACAGCCCACTTCTTCGGATGCATAGAATGGAACATATATTGAGGAGATATATATACACACATACAGAGAGCATGAAAAGGTGGGAGTTGTCTTACCAACTCTGAGATGCCAATTAAGTAAGAGAAAAAACTTTTGAAGTGATAATCAAGATAGCCCAGTACAGACAGCTTGATAAGAAGTGTGAGAATACTTACATTGGGAGATAGATTCTTGAAACTCCCACCTTTTCATGCTCTCTGTATGTGTATATATATCTCCCCAATATATGTTCCATTCTATGCATCTGAAGAAATGGGCTGTAGCCCATGAAAGCTTATGCTCAAATAAATTTGTTAGTCTCCAAGGTGCCACAAGTACTCCTGTTCTTTTTGCCATAACTCTTAGAGCCTTACATCTTCAGAGTGGTTTCCCAATATTCACTACTTAAAGCCAAAGCGGTAGAAATTATGGCAGATTATTATTTTTAAAGTGCTATGGCGATGGATTCTATAGCAATATTCAAGATTGATAATGACTTGAATACTTGAGAGTGGCAGAGATTCTGAATTATTTCTAATTTTGCCCAGTTCCGGCTCCACCTTCCAGATCTGTCCTCAAACCTATTAAAACCTGCAAAAAAAGTCCTCTCTGCTGCTGGGCCCTGCTCCTGCTCACTCTTCCCTGCTACTGGTTAAATCCCCACAATCACAGGTACAGGTATTATCGCTGCAAAAGGAAATGAATTGCATGTATAAACAAAACTTATTACACAAACTACAGATTTGGATAGCTGTTTAGAGGAAAGGTAAGACTTACTTGCCACCCCAGATGCAAAACCATAAAGCAATCCTCCTCCATCTGTCTGCTGCTGGAAGACATGGGAACCTGGGGGAGGGCTTCTCTCTTGTCTAATGAAGTTATATAATAATGTTTTCACAAGTCTGCTGGTGTATGGGAGACTGAAAAAGAAAAAAATCTAATATTTATCAAAGTACATGAAGTAACTACATTGGTAACTGCACTAAAACTTAAAATTGAGATTAATATAAATATATTTGCACAAGAGGGCAGGTATTAACCATGTGAATAAAAACTCAGAACTGGAATATTTAGCACCTCTACAGTGCATTCCATCCAAGCAATTTAGAGATCTCTGCAGACATTACCTAATCCACAGAGGCTTAATTCAGTAAACATCCCAGTTTTACAGAGGGGGAAGCTGAGGCACAATGAAATTAAGTATCTTGCCTAAGGTTAAATAAGACATAAGTAAGTTTAATATATTTTTTCCTGTAGTATAGTGATTTAAGAGAAAAAAATAAATGCCATAAAATTCTTAGAGCCTTGCATCTTCAGAGTGGTTTCCCAATATTCACTACTTAAACATAAAGCCAAGGAAGTAGAAATTATGGCAGATTATTATTATTTAAGTGGTATGGCAATGGGTTCTATAGAAATATTTGAGATAGATAAAGACTGGAATAGTTGAGAGTGGCAGAGACAGCCAGGAATCGATCCCAGGTATCTCCGCTCACAGCCCAGTGCTTTATCCACAAGACCATCATTCTTCTCTTTAATAAGGAAACTTAGTGAGGTATGCAACTTGACCAAGTTATAGGTTTGATGCCTCCTTTTGTTCTTCAGAATGTAAATGGTAGCCAGGGTTGTAGATACTTGTTTAAAGAGTCTCTCCTAATGCTGGTCACTTTCTCCATCTTAAGGACATTAACACGTATTAGAGTGGACTGATTTAAATCAAAGCAATTTAAATCACTAATTTTAATCAACAAGCAAGAAACCGTGATTTAAGTAATTGATTTTAATTGTGTTTTGCATTTGTACATTTTAGTTGTTTTCCCAAAGACAGGTTGAATCTCACTGGTTGATACCATTAAAATGTTTGATTTGCAACTACATAGAACCGTTACACTAAATTTAATGTTGTTTCTTGCTAACCAGGAGGACACACTGTATACTCATTTATTTAAGCAATTATATAGCTAACTTTTTACTAGTTGACTAATATTTAACTTGTGATTTGAGTCAGGCTCTATATGGATGGAAAATCAAATTAATTTGAAAATGCACAAAAAACATTTTTAATTAAATAAAACTGCCTTAAATGTGCTGAATACATACGAAAAAAGTTTATGAAAACATATTTTTCATTTAAAATTAATTTTTGTAACCCAAGGAAGTATTTGTAGTTAGTGAATTGAACTGTGTTTCTGATCACCACATCCTTAAAGATTATAGAATTAGTAGCACTCGTCCTCTCACATTAGTTTTTATCCATAGATTGGAAGAGGAAAACAAGCTTTCCTGCTTTTTCAACTCCCATTTGGTTTATTAACTTTGAATAAACTAATTCAATAACCTGAAATGAAGAAAATATTCTCTATGCAGTTGCAGATGAGGATACTGCTTTCAAAAGCTGATTTAGCATCTTAGCAAACTCCGGTTCCCCATGCTTAGGCAGTGATTTCCACCAGTTCAGTGGCTTGACTCTCTTGGAAACTTCGCAGCAAATATGTATTTCTTCATATTTTTGTATTTAATTTCAATGATTGTAATAGATTATAAATTTAGGTCTAAACATATGTTGTCAGTTTCAAATTTAATTTTAATAGATCTATTTTTAATTAATAAATCTCTATTTAATTTAAATTTAAAAAAATCGGGGGGGGGGGGTATTTAAAAATTCATTGATTTTTATCCATCCCGACACTTATGTTGATTTGCCCATTGCTGTACATGTGCGCCAAGCACTCCATCAGCTATATAAAAAGGAGCAAGCCGCAGCAGCAGGCCTATAGGAGAATTACTGTCTACAGCTAATATTGCCAGTGTTTATTTTTTGTTTCTCTTACAGTTTAAAGCTAGAGCATAAACAGCACTCAAGAAAGTGGGATTTTTTTAATATTCTTTCACTTTTAATAATCTATGATGTTATCAGTAATGTAGTGATCCTGTAACAAGCAACTCTGCACAAGTGGTCTCCTGCAGTGCACCACTGACATCAGCAGAGCACTGTATGGAATTGCTTGCAGGACTGGGGCCTACAGACTTATGTTTGTTTTCAGTATGAAACTGATAGTATCCCTTCAATTTGCTCCTTCATATTTTGCCCCCAAGAAGAACATTTTTATTCAGTGAAAGGAAATATACAGTTCTTATTCTATTATTCCTCTGCATCTTGGCTACATAAAACAGGTAGATTGTATTTTCTCCAACATTTATAGTTATTAAGCTAGTTGGGACCAATTTACATTGATTAGTGAAACACATGACCTCACCTCAGTGACTCTTAGTGGTAGAGAAGAGAGTTGTTGGAACTAAATAAATTAAAGCAAGGGAAACCACCACATGTTTAAAAACAATTCAGAATTAATTACCTAAATTCTCCAAAGCCAATGGGACTACTCATGTAAGTAAAGTTAAGTATATGATTCAGTGTTTACAAGTTCAGGGCCTACCAAGCCTCTGTCTTTCACTTTCCCCATCTATACAAATAGGGTTCATACTTCCTTATCTAATAAGGAATAATTTCAGGAGCATTTTTGAGGCACTCAGGTACTACAGAAAGGAATACAAAAAAAAAACGCACAGATAAAAGTAAATGATTTCTTTTAAAATAAAAGTTTTAAGTAATTAATAAAATTTATAAAGGATACATATCAAGTTATAAGGGCAAACGGGATCCAAAATAAAGCTGTACTGAAACCAGGGTGTGGGGAACCTTAAATGTGAAACATTTCACTAACATTTGGCAATGTTTTGGACTTTTTTTTTTTAAGTGGCAGCATAATGCAATAAAACTTATTACATGTTCCTCTCCTGACACTGTCTACAAGTACAACAATCTATGAACACAGAACAGAAGTTTATCAACAGCATGAAAAACTATTTGCTTTTCTCTGTGTCGAATGCAGCACTGTAATGTGACGTACCATCGGCCACGCATCAGGTATTTATGAATGACGCTCTCTCGCAGAATTTCCTTGTGAAATAGTTGGCAGGAAAGGAAGACAACAAGTGTCGTCACAGCTTCCAGGGAAATGCTGTATGTTATGTCTCTGCAGGGAGAAGAGAGAATAGCCATAAGGATTAAGCTATTGTTTCTATTTACAAACTGACTTTTACATTATGAGAAAATGCTCTAAATTCACATTTATACAATGCTTAGCACATTGGGCCTGTATCCAATCTATGCCTGTTTCCGAAAAAGTCTCCCCCCGCTCCCCCGCCAAAAAAAGGAGGCTGTATTAAAAAAAAAAAAAAAAAAACACATTTAACTACCCAAAATATACAGGCTAAAATTTTAAATTTTTGACCAAGCTTAGTCACTCACTAAAATAATGCATATATTTTAAAAACTGCTCTGACATTTACACTTCATACGCATTTGTTTTAAAAGTGAACAAAGAAAATTGAGAGGCCAGTTCTGATACAGGAAATATTTATGGACACCAGAGTGCACAGAGATCAATGTGGATGCAGGTTGCTTGAGCTCTAAAAAGGCCCACAGGGAATCCCCAAACGTCCACTAAAACACATCTAACCCCAAGAAATATTGCACCAGACTACTGAAACCCCCAAGATGCCCTGTAGCTCACATCTTCCTCTGATTCCAAAAGCACCAAAAAAACCCCAAAGATCTGCCTCCGAACTTCTACAAACAAGATAGTGCCTGAGCCTGATGGAGTGCAGCTGATGACTGTCCCACAACAGGTGGCTACAAATACTGTTGAAATTAAATCTACAGTTTCCACCCTACAGACCACCATGACAGAGATTCAGACGGACAGGTGAAGTGGAAGATGACTTCAAAGAAAACAATTTGCAGGTTATGAAGAACTGTAATTATATCAAGACTATTAAGACCAAGCTAATGATCTAGAAAACCACTAACAATAATGTAACATCAGGTTTGTGGATGTCCCTGAAGGAACAGAGAAAGGTAAACACTCTGAATTTGTCCCTAAATTGCTAAGTACGTTGCATCTGCCGGTAGATTTTTGTTTTGATATAAAACAGGCACACTGGGCCCTTGTCCCCAAGCCAGCTCCAAGAAGTCGGCCTAGAGCACTGACTGTGAAAGTCCTGAAGTTTACTACTAAGAAGCTTATATTGCAAAATTCCAGAGAAAAGAAAGAGCTAGTATGGGGAGAACCAGCAATTAAAATACAGCTCTTTAACACAATTATGCCCATGATGTGGTTGCAATGAGGTCAGCTTTTAATCAAGCAAAACAATTGGCCAGGACGATGGACTTGAACTATTTTATTTAATATCTGGCAATGCTCTATCTTACGAATGGCAAGACGACAGCATCATTCAGTTCTCCTTAGGAGGCAGAAAAATACCTCAAAAATCTGCAAACTCCTCCTTCACAAGAGGAGACATCTAGGGAATGACCCGACCATACGGAATTTATGTACTGCTCTCTGAGCTCTGATATGGCTGCTCTAAACAAGTTGATGAGTGCTAGGTTGATATTGATATGTTAGTTTCTTTTTTTTTTTCCTCTCTCTGATTGGGGTTCAAGGGCTATCATCAATTTACTTCCTATTGCCTTAATTCATGGGAAAGGAGCATCAATGTAAAATCTATCACTTGATTAGTATTTACATATCATGGTTTTATTAGATGGTGCTTCCTTATGGACCAGTGGATCAATGTTCTATTAGTAATAGGTGATTACTATAGTTGCAATGTTTGGGGCCCCAGGGAATGTGAGGATATCCAAGTTTCAGCTTATCCAGCTGTCCCTCTGGGTATCAAGTGGGTAATTTTGAATAGTTTAAACAGATACTTCTATCTGATTGTAGGGTACTACTATGTATTTCTCACACCACTATCTTTTCCAGGGTGTGTTTTTTTTTAAACTTATTTAATTCCTCTTTCTGCCCCCCTCTACTACCCTCCCATGCAGAGAATTTCCTTCCCACTCCTGTAGAATATGTTCTGGGAAGTAACACCCACCACTGGATTATATAACTTTTGCTGCTTAGATATGCAAAAACTATATGCTGCTTGGGAAAATGTGCCATTTCTCATTTATTCGTAAAGTGACTATGTTTTATCAGGTATATTTTATCAATGATGGCTCCCATAATTAAATAAGTCTCCTAGAATATAAAGGGCTCTAATAATCCTTTAAAAGGAAAACATATACTCAATGCTTAAAAAAGAGAATGTTGGCATTGCCATGCGCCAAGAGACAGATCTGACAGAACTTGTAGCTTGTAAACTGAATAGAGATTAGGTAGGCCTCTCAGTTTCTAGTAGCTTTAATTCTAAAGCAAGAGGCATTGCCCTACTAAATACATACAAAGTTGAATGTTAATATTCTGAGCACAAGGTCTGACAGTGAAGGCAGATTTACTGTCCTCAAGGCTGAAATTCGCAATTCTATAATCATCTTTGCCAGTCTCTATGCACCAAACCAGGATGATCCCAAATGTTTTCATAAATATAAATTACATGGCCCACGATATTGTTAGTAAAGCTGGAGACATTAAACTTCTAGACCAGGTCTTTGATAAATCTTCTCTATCACCATATAATAACACTAATACTCATCAGGTGCTTCATACATATATGGCTGATTCAGGTTTACAGACTGTGCAGAGACTGGGTAATCCTACAGCTAGAGACTACAGGCTTTTTTTCTGCAACTCATTCAACACAATCAAGTCTCGTGACATTAAGAAATAGTCCAGACTTGATCAATTTTGCCTCTGATTGTAGCATTAGTACTATTGTTACATCTGACCATACTCCTATACACGTATCTTTTAGTCTCAAGGGCATACACCCACAACTAAAATGTGGAGATTAAATACCCACTTTAAGGGCAGAAGGGACCATCATGATCATCTAGTTTGACCTCCTGCACACATTGCAGGCCACAGAATCTCACTCACCCATTGCTGTAATAGATCCATAACCTCTGGATGAGTTATGGAAGTCCTCAAATCATGATTTAGAAACTTGAAGTTACAGAGAATCCACCATTTACACTAGTTTAAACCTGCAAGTGACCCGGGCCCCAGCCGCAGAAGGCAGCAAAAACACCAGGGTCTTTGCCAATCTGACTTGGCGGGGGGGGGGGGGGTTGATTCTTTCCTGGTCCCAAATGATGATGATCAGTTAGATCCTGAGCATGTGGGCAAGAACACCAGCCAGACACTTGGGAAAGAATTTCCTGTAGTAATTCAGAGCTCTCCCCATCTAGTGTCCCATCACCAACCGTTGGAGATATTTGCTGCTAGCAGTCACAAATCAGCTACATGCCATTGTAGGCAGTCTCATCATACCATCTCCTCCATAAATTTATCAAGCTCAGTCTTGAAGTCAGTTTGTTTTTTTTGTCCCCACTGCTCCCCTTGGGAGGCTGTTCCAGAACTTTACTCCTCTGATGGTGAGATTAAATACTTCGTTGGGGTGTTGGGGTGCAGGAGAGGATGAGGGGTGTCAGCACTGGGAGGGAGTTTGGTGCAGGAGGGGGGCTCTGGGCTGGTGCAGGGGTTTGGGGTGCATGAGGGGGTGAGGGGTGTGGGCTCTGGGAGGGAGTTTGGGTGCAGAAGGGGGCTCCGGGCTGGGGCAGGGGTGCAGGAGGGGGTGTGAGGTGCAGGCTGTGGCCGGGAGGCGCTTACCACAGGCGGCTCCCGGTCGGCAATGCAGCGGGTCTCCGTGCGCTGCCTGTGCCCACGAGCGCCGCCCCCTTAGCTCCCATTGGCTGGTTCCTGGCCAATGGGAGCTGCGGGGACGGTGCTGGGATCGGGGGCCACGCATGGAGCCACCTCCCCATAGCGGCCGCAGAGACGTGCCAGCAGCTAGCCATTTCCAGGAGTGGTGTGGAGCCAGGGCAGGCAGACAGCCTGCCTGAGCCCCGCTGAGCCACCGGACTTTTAGCAGCCGGAGATTGCGATTGACTGGCAGAGGCTCCAGGATTGATCAGTTGATCGCGATCGACCAGTTGGTGACCATTAGCCTAGGACTATCTTTTTCATGTGTTCGCCAAATTTGGATTTGGTAACCAATCTATTGCTTGGATTAAGCTTTTATATTCTAACTCAACTTCCAGGGTAGTAACCAATAGTATTATTTTCCCCCCATTTCTATTACAGAGAGGTTCTAGGCAGAACTGCCCCCTTTCGCCTCTTCTGTTTGAATAAGCTCTAAAACCTTTAGCCATTGCCATCTGAGCAAATCAACATATTTAAAGGTATCATGGAGGGCCAAACAGAGCACAAAATTATGCTCTGTGTTGATGATGCTCTTGTATTTGTATCTTAAAGTCCAAGGTTACTATTCCTAACCTCTTAAGTACTATTAATAAGTTTGGACATCTCACAGAATATAAAATTAATTGGGATAAATCAGAAATCTTAGGCATTAACAAATAAGCCCAAAAATGTCTTCTCAAATTGGTGGCAACCCTCTTACATGAAACCTTTGGGAATGCTGATTCCCAATAATATTCAGAACATCCCTACTATAAATAGAACCAGTGACTGACAATGTGTCTAATGACTGGGGGGAGATGGAGTTCATTAACCTTGAGTTTGTGGGATCAACTTAACATACTGAAAATGAATGTCCTTCCCAGAATTTTGTATGTCCTGAGGGGTCTCCCTATTTCTATTCTCACACTCATTTTAAGAAATTCAGTAATATTTTCATAAAGTCCTTTTGGGGCACAGGTAAGAAACCTAGACTGGCTTTGAACAAATTACCGCCATCTCTGGGAGGATTTCATTTTTCCAGCCTGGAAAGTTATATCTCCTTTTGGTTAAGCCAGGCATCTTTGTGCCTGTTAGAAAAGACTGTACAGACCCCACTTTGAGTTCAGACTGAACGAGAATTGGTGTACCCTCTCCCCATTACAGGCATTGTAGGATCAAATTATTGTAGATTTGATGGCTCCAGAGCTCCCACAACAATGGCTGTGAGGCAAGCTTGGTCAAACTTGGCTAGAAAGTCCTACTTCCATCCATTCTTCCACGTAGAGGCAATTCTATGGCGCAATCCTACCCTTAAAATCAGAAGCAAAAATTTGATGTGGAGG